TCCCAAGTAGCTGGGACTACAGGCATGCGCCACCATGCCCGGCTAATTTTTTCTATTTTTAGTTGTTTGGCCAATTTCTTTCTATTTATAGTAGAGACGGGATCTTGTTCTTGCTCAGGCTGGTCTCGAACTCCCGAGCTCAGGCAATCCTCCCACCTCAGCCTCCCAGAGTGCTAGGATTACAGGCGTGAGCCACACAGCCTATCACCCCTTTTAAACACGCAGAAACCCAAGCACAGAGAACGTAACCAACTTGTCCAGAGACCCATAGCCAGCAGGTGGCAGAAACAAGTAGTCTGGCTCCTCTGCTCTCAATGACCACACAACAGTGCTCCTCTGAGCAGAAGTGGGGAAGCTGCGGCAAAGTCAGCGTGGCTCTGCGCTCGGCGCAGGGTCAGATCAACTCGGCACACATGAGCTACGTGACCTTGGGTTCCTTCTCCCCCTAAACTTCAGCTCCCCCTCCCATAAAATGGGAATAATGTGACTTACACAGGGCTGTTTTGAGGATTAAATGAGACAATACAGAGAAAGTGCTTAACACAGAGCCCAGCACACAGCAGACTTCAACCGCTAACTACCATCTCCACCATCGCTTTCTCTGGTGGGCATCTACCGCCAGCCAGCTGGAAGGACGCCCCCTCCGAGCCTCCAGAGGAAGCCCCCTCCCCATCAGTTGTACCCTGGCTGCTTGGCCAGAGGAGAAGAGCTGAGCAGTCTCTGCTGTGTCCCTTCCCCCCACCCCCCAAGGCACTCACAGGTCCACGCGGTGGCACTGGGGCCTGCCGCCTGATGGGGCCCAGCAATAGCACTAAGTGTCAGCTCATAGCGGGTGCCTGGAGACAGGTGAAGGAAGGTGTGATTGGAGACCCCCCGTCCGACGACGGCAGTCAGGTTGGTGCCACCTAGGAGGTCTGTGAGCACGAGTTGGAGCCAGGCAGCCCCCTCAGAGCCATTCCAGGATGCTCGTAGGGCACTGGTGCCCAGGGCGTGCAGCGCCAGGTGATCCGGAGACATGGGAGCTGGAGGAAGGACGGAGAGAGCAAAGTCAGGCTCGAGAAAAGGCCCTGGGGCAGGATGCTGGCCCTGACTCTGGCACCAGGGAGCCCAGAAGCCACTCCCACCGTGCCCAGATTGGCTGCCATCTGGGGCCCTGCCCAGGTGCCCACCTTACCTGTCCACTGGTGGAGACTGGTCTTGGTTTGGAGGCTGTCAGCCCAGGTGATGACTTCCAAAACATACTCACTACCTGGCAAGAGGTTGCCGAAATTGTAGGACAGGGTGTCCGGAGGCGTGGAGGCATTACGTGCCAGTGTCTTGGATTCCCGGTGGTAGAGGAGGAGTTGGTAGCCATCCTGCTCCCCGGGGGCTTCACTCCACGAGGCCTCCAGGCTGGATGGGCTCCCGGGGTTGTGCAGCTGCAGCCCGTGGACAGGTGATGGGACTGCATCGCAGGTAAGGCAAGCACCAAGGTCAGGGCCAAAGGCCCCCCCCCCCCGTAGTGCTTCTAACGGTCACTGTGCCCGACGCAGGCCGCAGAGAAGCCGTCCCCTTTGGCTACCCTGCCCCATGCCAGCCCTCTGGGTCAGCCAGCTCCCCCCTCAGCCCCAGACGATGCCCCTCCCACTCAGCCTGCAGGCCTCATACCGGTGCAGGCAGTGAGGGTGACGGTGACATTCTGCCCGCAGGGTCGCAGGGCAGTCACTTCCAACTGGTAGCGACTCCCTGGCACCAGGCCCTGGAACTCGAAGCTGGATGCGTTGGTGAGGGCCTGGAGCTGCTGCCCTTCGGGAGAGCCGAGGGGGCTCAGACGCGCGAGGCGGAGGGCGTGGTGGACCCCACCTGGCTCCGGGGCTGCCCAGCTCAGAAAGAGGCTTGTGGGACTCCCCCGGCTGCTGACGTTCACTTTGGGGGGTGGGCCTGGGGAAAAGGGGTTCCTTCAGAATCTCCCAACATGCCTCTGCCCTAAGGGGAGAGCAGAGGCAGGGTCTGTGTGGAGAAATGGTCCCGCATCCCCCGCTCCTCAGCCTACCTCCGCTCTCCCGGGCTGGGCTCCCCTCCTGGGAGTGGCACGGGTCTTCCTGCAGGAAGCAAGGGAGGAGGGGGGAAGGGACGGGCAGGGGCCTCCGAGGTCCAGGCCTCTGGGAAAGCCAGTAGGGGACAGGGCCAGGATCCCAGAGGAGGCTGTCCCTTGTCAACACCCCCACAGTCGAAGGGACATCACCTGAGGCATGCCCAGGGCGCAGGAGGCAGCCCCAGGCAGCCTGGAGCAATCTGTTCTGGATGTGCGCTGGCTGGCGGGTGGGAAGGGAGCAGCCGCCCTGCCCTCTCGCCTAATGCAGCCCAGCTGTGGGCCCCACAGAGCGCTGGGTGGCCCAGCTGTGCCCGGGTGAGCAGGGGCCCCATGCACCAGGCCTGCCCCCCATGCCCCCCTTACCTCAGCCAGAACACCCCGGAGCCAGAGGAGGGCAGCAAGCAGGACCCGGGACCTCATCCTGGTGTCTGCGGAGGAAAGCGGGGAGGCGGCAGGGAGGAGCCAGCCCCCGCTGCCCCGCTGGCTGGCGCGAAGGTGGGAAGGGCAGAGTTTCAAGCCAACTGGGCAGGCAACAGGCAGCAAAGGGCAGGGGCTGCCTCTCAACCCCAGACCCCCGCCCCCTTGGCAAGGCTTGTGAGGGGCAACTGGCAGGCGGAGGCTGGCTCGGGGACTATAACTCTTAGGCTGCAGACGGGCCCACCTCTTTCCTCTGCCTCCCCCGCCCCACCCCACCTCCCGAAGTTGGCTCTCGGGGAGGAAACCGTCCTGTGCTCTCCCGGAAGACCGAGAGGAGAGATGGCCTTGCAAAAGGACACATACAGCAGGGACAGCTGGCTCCCCACTCCCTGACCTCGGAGAGGGGCGTGGCGTCTACTGACTCGGTCCACATGTGCGAGACAGGGTGTTTCTGCTATCGTGTATGTGTCGTGCTGCTGGCACCATGTGGATGTGTGTGCCCGTGTCCTGAGTGGATGGACCAGCTGCGTGTGTGTCCCCTTTTGTGTATCCATGTGGCACCATGTTCTTGTGGACAGAGGCACAGAAGCACATCATTTGGGCCCTAAGTCACAGTGACTGCAGATCTAGAGCCCATTGGTCCTTAGGACTCACCTGGTCCGCCCCTCACTGCCCAGGTGAGGAAGCTACATCCAGGGAGGCGAAGGGCCAGCCCGAGGCCCCACATGTGTGAGGAGAGAAGCTGGACTGGAACCTGGGACTTCAGACTCCATAGAGCAGAGAATGCAAACTCCCTAAATTGGGGTCCTCTGAGCTTAGAACCCACCGAGGACTGATTCAAGTCCCCAGAATTTCTGCTCGCCTTCCCCCACTCCTCTCCCTAGGTCGGCAGTGCCCACCCCGGTTCCCCCGCCTGGCTGCAGGCACTGCAGAGGCCCAGGCAAGACCACCTGAGGCCTGGCCTCAAAGACCTTGAACTTGAGGCTTTGCTGTAGCGCAGCCTAGAGCCAGCTAGTCACCGTGAGCTGCTCACCCCAAGTGCTCCCACCCCAAGACAGCCGAGGGTGGGAAGGGAGGGAGAATGGAAGAAATGCTTTGGGCCCTGGGAGGGAAGCCTGGGACTCAGGAAGTGCGGAGGGGGAGTGTGCAGAAACAGATATGGAAAGTTCGAACACCAAGGCAGCTTCTGTGGGAGCCAGGTTCTCCTGGGCCTGCCCCGGCAGGGAGGACAGGCCTGTGGCAGAGACCAGCTCCCTGCTTAGGCCAGAGCCAGGGGCTGCGTGTCCCTCCCCCACTCCGCCCAGCCCCAAACCTCAGAGCCTCCCACCCGGCCCTGGAAGGGGGCCTGGAAACTCAGCACTGCAGACTCATCAGATTTTCCAGGCTGTGTGCGTGTGTGCGTGTGTGTGTGTGTGTGTGTGTGTGTACACATGCACACGTGTGCTCTTTGGGTGGGGGGAGGGGTGCGACTGGGGAAACTGATGTGAAAGGGAAGAGGTCCCAGGCACCAGTCTGGCCAAGAGGTGGTGGGAACATCCTGCCCCCATCCCTCCTCACCTGGGGACACCTCCCTTGTTCTTTCTAGCAGTCTCCATCAGCAGCCGCAAAGGGCAGAAGTGGGCGGGGGTGAGGGGAAGCGCCCTAATTCAGAATCTCAGTAGAGAGATGCAGCAGGACATGAGTTAGGAAAAAGGGGTCTCAGAACCTGTCCAAGAGTCCTCCCAGAGACAGAGGGCATGGCTAGTCCTGCAGACAGAGCCCTGAGGAGGCGCCTGGCTGGAGAAGGCACAGCTGCCAGCTCCCCGCCCCGTCTGGGGCAGCCTTGGGGATGGGAGGAGGGCTCCGGAGAGGGTGCAGGAGGGTTCTGACAAATAAGCAGCAGCCTCCCCAGCCCAAGCCTCTCCATTCAGCAAAAATAGTACCACAAGGGCTGCATCTCCTCCCCAGCAACCACCCCCACAGACAAACCCACATCCTCTCCCTGGAGAACCCCTGGGGTCCTCCCAAGGTCTCAAAGCACCTTACTGATTTCTTCTGGAGAGAGCCAGCCAGGAGGCAGAGCAGGGCAGGGGGCAGGTCCAGGTGTCCTGGCTCCCAAAGGTGAACTGGCCGGATCTCTCCCTAGAGCCATCCCAGGCAGCTCTCCTGGCCCCTCCCCTGCTCTCCCCCAGCCTGAAGCCAGGCCTTGGGCACCCCCCACGCTGGAGGGAGATAATCACCGGGCAGCAGAGGGGCAGGGTGACTCCGGACAGCCCAGCCGCCCACTCTCCCTGCTTCCTATGCTCTGGGGACAGCGGCCGGGGAGGGGGAAGGCCCAGGGCCCACTGACCGGGTGGTGAGAGAGCAGGGGAGGGGCTGGGGGTGTGTGTGCACACGTGACCATGAGGGTGTACATACCTGTCCGGATGGAGGCGTGAGTGGGTGTTCAGGGACAATACGGAGGGGGAGGGAGACAGGAGGGCCCCTGGGAAGAAAAAGCCACATGTCGAACAGATATCCATTGCGCTGGCTCTGGGCTCAGGAGAGAGGGAGGGACTCTCTCCTCCCTAAAGTCCCCCTACCAGAGTCCTGAGTTCTGGCAACAGCACGCAGGTCCCGCGCCCCCCGTCTGGGCAGGCCTGGACCGAGGGTCCTCTTAGCCAGGGGCGGCGGTGGGAAAGTCCCTTTCACCAGCAGCCACCCAAAAGGCAGCAGTAGGTAACCGGGTCCTGGGTGGCCTGGCACAGGGGTGTGGCCCTGCGACGGGGGTGCCATCCCGGGAGAAGTCCAAGGTCACACAGCCTTCACACTGGCTGTCCCAGACCCATTCTCATGCCCCTAACAGCACTTCTCTGCCCCACTCACTGTGTCTCCACCGGTGTCTCCCAGCCTCCTCCTGGACACGGCTTCCCAGATCCCAGTTCTCAGTGTCTCTGTCTCCCCCACACAGGCAGGGACAAGCCCGGGCTGGTAAAGTTGGGGCAGACCAAGCTGGCTTGGGCTGGCCTAGGATTTAGGGGGCGGGCAGGACTCAGGAGCAGAGAGGAGCTGAGGAGGGCGGCCAGGGAGGGGAGGGGGCAGGTGGAGTGTGCAGGGCCCAGGAGTCCCAGCACCCAGCAGCTGACCCTCTCCCCAAGATCCTCCCCTTGGAATTTTGTAGGGTGGCAGCCTTTGCCTCTGGGGGCCAACGGCAGCCTGGCTAGGAGCTCCCTGCTTCCTAGGGGCTGCCAGGGAACAAGAACTTCTGGGAAGTCCAAATATAATCCCCGTCCTCTCCCCAGGGGCTTCTGACACCGGGGACAGGGAGCTGTGGCCCGCAGCCATGTGATTCCCACGAATTGGGAATCACCAGAGGAGGGAAACAAGAGTCAGGGTGCGTGTGGCCAGAGCTCAGGAGGGCAAGGGTGCCGGCCACAGCCTCAGATGGGACAGGATGCCACCATCACCCTGCTCAGGATACGCCCTCTGCCCTCTCCAGGGGGGGCTGTGCCCCATCTGGGCTGCTGGGAGCCCCTGGGAGCGACTCTGTCCAGAACCTCCCCCTGGCTGGGGTGGAACTGCCCGGGCAGCCTGGCTCCAGGGAGAAAGTGAGCAGTGAGGAGGAAGAGGGCATCTGGCGAGAGGTGAGACTCCTGACCAGGCCCCGATGCTGCTCCCAGGAGCACTCCCCGAGCCGGCTCCCTCAGCCTCCTGCTCCTTCCACTGGCCTGGCCACTCCTGAGCTCCACTGTGAGGGAAGGGCTTCACAGGTCTGGCCCCAGGTGACAAGGGAGGGACTGTTATCATCTCCTGGGAGGGAGCAAGCTCTGGGAGGCGCAGTCACTTGCCCGTGGTCACAGCTAAAAAGCCACAGTTTAGACTCATTACGCACAGGTCTTGCTGACCTCCAACTCTAACCCCACTTGCTCTGGAGCCCGGGGTGGCTAGAACCTAAATCCCAACTCAGGAAGACACAGCAGCAATGGGTGCGATGGAAGTTTGAGAGCTGCCTGGGATAGGACTGTGGACGGTGTTAGCAGAAGGTTCTGGAGGGGAGAGAAGTCACTCCCAGGAGCCTCCCAGCAGCCCAGACGGGGCAAAGCCCACTCCAGAGAGGGCAGAGAGGAGCGCGCCGGCCCCCAGGGCCAGGCTGGGGAGGGGCTGGTGCAGGGCTGTGACTGCGTCTTGTCCTATCCGAGGCTTGCAGTGGGCGCCCACGCCCTTCCTGCACTCTGCCACACACCTCCGTGGACGTCCAGGCATTTCTAAGCAAAAGGGGGGGACCGAGGGGGCAGGCGGCAAGAAGTGACTATCTCCTCTACCCCAAACCCACGCACGGGGACCCAGGGGACACTCAAGACCTTGCCTGGTGCCCAACCACCACCCCCAACCCCACCACCAACTACCTTCTCCATCTCCCAGCTCCCAGCAGCCTTGCTCCCTGCCCAAGAGCTCAGCTCCAACTGGAACCACTGCCGGGCTCCAGCCTGAGGGGCAAGGGGAGTGCTCACAGCCAACGGGGCTCGGACCCTGGAAACCTGGGGCCACTGGGCAGACCAGAGTGGGGAGGGCTTTGCCCACTTCCTCCTTCCCACCCCTGTGGTATCCTAGCTTCCTGTTCTTGATAGCAATCAACAGCGTGGCCCAGAGGCGGTGGCCCTCTTTCCAATCCCCCCGGGGCCCCAGCTGGTGTTGGGGGGTGAGGCAGGGGCCAGTCTTGGGTCACTGCCCACGAGCATGTCCGGGATACCCAGGCTCCTGCTCCCCTCCATCCTGGGCACCAGAGCCAAACACTTCCCCAGCTCTAAGCAGCCTCCTCCTCAGGGAAACCCACCCCCTCCCCAGAGGAGCTCAGGCCAGATGGAAGAGGGAGCCAGGATCAGCTGGCCATGGAGGGGCTCAGCAGAGCGCCAGTCCCTGTGCCCACTGCCAGGCGCAAGGGCAGCTCTGGGAGCCTCCTGAGCCCCAAAGGGGCATCCTTGCTCTTCGCCTCAACCCTCCTCCCCCATGGGCCAGCAGAAGGCCAGCCCCCTCCCACCACCCCCTCCGGGGTGCCTACCCCTGCGCCTATTGTACATCACTCTTTTTTGCTGTCATCGTCTGACAGCTGAATCAGGGAAGTGGGAGGAAGAAAGAAGACGCGGACCGTGTGTGTCGGGGGCCGGGCGGGGAAAGGAAGGGTGCTTGGAACGTTGCGAGGTAGAAGGAGAGGTGCGGGGAGCATGAACCGGCTGGGCCGCGGCCGAGCAGGGGCGGGGGGCAGCGGAGTCTTGGACTCAGGGGCCACTCCCCAGGCCCCAGGCATCCAGGCACCCCAGCAGGAAGAGGACATGGGAGGCCCCTGGTGTGAGGGCCAGAGACTGTCCACCATCTGTGAGTCTCCTGAGTAGATGTTCTGGGAGGAGGTCTAGAGGTGGCTGGGGACCCCGGGGAAGCCCCTCAGGCTCTCGCACAAGCTGTCTCCGCGATCTGCTCCCCGACTGGCTGGCCTGCGCTGGGGCCAGAGACAGCTGAGAGCAGGGGTGCGGCCCTGGGCTCTCCTTCCCCTGGTAGAGCATGGACTCTTGCCTCCTCTGCCCACCCCGAGTCTGCGTCACATCTGCCCTGGGAAGAGGCAGCCTCTACTTGGCCATGAATTCCCAAGGCTTGCAGCCGCAGGGGCTCCAGGGAGAGGACTCTGGAACAGAAGCAAAGAAGTGGAAATTAGTCTCTGGCCAACGTCCGGTTGAGCAAGGGAACCTGAGGTTGTCTGTGGGACATCATGGAGCTGGGGGTCAGCTGAGTGCTGCCCTGCAAGTGGGCAGAGACTGGACATGACAAGGACCCAGAGGAGAAACACGGCAGGAGAGAGGAGAGTTTGGAAGCTAGGGGAACCGGGTGGTCAGCGAAAGACCAGCCCCTCACCCACTCCCAGGGCACAGGGCCCGGAGGGGCACAGGCAGGAGGCATCCGACCCCTGGTGGCAGCAGCAGACACAGGAGGGCAGCATGCAGCTGGGGTGTGCGTGGGTGGCAGCGAGGAGGGGCGGAGGGAGGAAACTGGCTTCCTGAAGCCTTCTCAGCCCTCAAAGACAGACCGACAGACAGACAGACAGCTGGCAAGAGGCAGCCTGGGGGCCACACCTGCTTCAGTAAGTACCTGAAGGGGGGAGTGGGAGTCCCACGGCCCTGGGATGGTGTGAACTTCAGGGAAATGGGAGGGCATCTCCCAGGAGGGTGTGCGAGAGGGCAAGCTGGGTGCCCCAGTGCCTGGCTGCGGAATGGGTGCTGGCAGACCCGGTGTCCCTGAGGCCGGAAGGACAGGGAAGCCGCAGGGCGCTGCAAAGAGAGCAGAGCTACAGGGTCCCCGCCTGCTGCAGAAGAGTCGCCACCACCCGCACCTGCACCAGGCCCACTCTGTCCCCTCACCTCTTCCTGGGGGCTTGGCAACTCTGACACCCCCACCGCCCCAGCCACTGCGACCCTAGCTCTGGGAGATGGGGACCGCCCCCCAGAGGAGATGGTCCCACCACCTCCATGTCCCCTCTCGTGCCCCCTGTCGCCTCACCATGCACCATCGCTCAAGGGCTTGCTGAGGCCATTTCCTGTGACGGTTACAGAGGCGGGAGACAGGGGGATGGGCAGGAGGAGGAAGGAAACACCCCCAGGCTACCTCCCTGGACAGAGACCCCAGAAGCCAGCAATGAACTTGGGAGTGGCACTGCCAGCAGCTAGGAGAGGGCCCTGCTGGGGGCCAGCGGCCTGGCGCGTCAGGGTCCGCAGCCAGATCCAGCTCTGCTGGGCGCCGCCAATCCCTCCTTCGGGAGGAGGCCCACTGGCCAGCCCAGTGGTGGTTTCCATGAGCTTCCTTCTCTGGCGAAGACAAATTTTATATTTCCTCCCTCGCCTTTTCTCACTCGGACCCCAGCTCAGAGCCCCGTGCACTTTGGTCTCTTGCCTCTCTCCCTGCCCTCTTCCTCCTTCCTTCCTATCCTCACCCACAGTGTCTCCCCTGCATCTTGCCCTCTAACCCCAGGCTGCCCGCTTTCCTGGGTCCCACCAAAGACATCCTATCCTTCCCATAGCGGCAATGAGGCCACTTTGTGGGAACAGAAGACACCTCCAGTGAAAACAGAGCAGAAAGCCGGCCTGGCAGACAGGCCAGAGGTCAGCAGGGCAGGGCCTTGTCTTTCAGGCAGAGCTCATGGCTGAGTGAGCTTCCCCTGGGCCCAGCACCCCAGCCCAGCATGGTCCAGGCCTGCGGGGGGCGCTCCAGAGCACAGCCGCCAACCTTGTCTTTGGGGGCAGCCATGACCCAGCCTCCACCCGCCAAAGCGCCAGCCAAGAAGCACGTGCGGCTGCAGGAGAGGTGAGATCCTTCCCAGGGGAGGGGCCTTCCCAGCCCTGAGACCCCGTGCGGCTACTCCCTTCCCTCCACCTGCACCTCCGGCTCTGAGAGTTGAGCCCAGACAGCCCTCAGTTGTTGACTCCAATCTGGAAAGGAAACCAGTGGTGCTCATTTGCATGTCCTGTGCACGTCTGAGACACAGGGTTTCGTGTCAGCCCCGAGCCTGCTTCCTAAATCCCAGGCTGGATGGCGCAGTCCCGGGGCACAGCCAGCGCCCTTCGGTGCTGGAAGCAGGTCGGGCCCGGGGCCGGGAGTGGGAAGAGGTGGGCTGCTGGAAGGAGCAGTGGGGTTCAAAGCTGCCCTGTTCAGGCTGACAAAGGGAGAAGAGGAGACAGGAGGGGCCTGAACCCATGAGTTCACTGGGCCTTTGGGTCAAGGGAAAGACAAGGAATGGCCTCCTCAGATGTGCCTTGCAACAATGATACTTGTAAGAAAAGCAAACGTTATTGGTGCTCACTCGGCACCGGGTGGCTGTGCCCGCAGGCGGGGCTCCAATGTGGCTCTGATGCTGGACGTGCGGTCCCTGGGGGCCGTGGAGCCCATCTGCTCCGTGAACACACCCCGGGAGGTCACCCTGCACTTCCTGCGCACAGCTGGACACCCCCTCACCCGCTGGGCTCTGCAACACCAGCCACCCAGCCCCAAGCAGCTGGAGGAGGAATTCTTGGTAAGAACTCGGGGTCCCCTCGAAGTCGCTGTGCCCCTCTGTATCAGAAGCAGCCAGCTAGCCCCATTCTATCCTGGCACTATGGGCTCCTTAGAAAAGAGAACTTCAGAGCCCGGGGGAGGGGGCCGGCCCTGGGCTTTCCCTTGCGCCCCCTGCCCCATCCAGGCCCACACACTAATGCCAAGAAGGAACAGCCAGGGCCCACCTGTAGTAGGAACGGGCTCAAGGGGGAAAGAGGAGCCCGGGAAGGGGTATCACCTGTTCACTCATATCCTCCCCCACCAGAAGATCCCTTCAAACTTTGTCAGCCCCGAAGACCTGGATATCCCCGGCCACGCCTCCAAGGACCGATACAAGACCATCTTGCCAAGTAAGACCTGCAGCTGGGATTGAGGGAGGTGGGTATACTGTTCCTGGGGCTGGAGAACTTCAGAAGGCAGGATGCACGGCTGGCCGGGAAAGGACCACCTTACTTGGAGCACCTCCTTTCAGTGGAGAAATCCCATAGCATGCCCGGCAGGGGAGGAAGGAGCAGTAACCACAGCAACAACAACAACATTTGCAGATGCTCACTGTGGGCCAGGCCCGGCTTTAAATCCTTTATATTAACTAATGTCTCACAATGATCCCATGATGTTGATACTGCAATATTATTATGCCCATTTTATAAGTGAGCAAACTGAAGCGCAGACAAGTTGAATAACTTGTCCAAGGTCTCACAGCTAGTTGCACAGACCTTCTTCCTCATCTTCCTCCCCTATGGGGAATGCCCAGCAAAGGCTTGCGTGGAGGAGACAGCATCAGGAGGAAGGGCAATGAGACAGCCAGACAGAGGCCAGGCAGCAGCGGTGAGAGAGCAGTGACAGGTTGGGGCGGAAGACCCTGGGCTGGAAGGGGTTGGCCCTACAAGCTGACGGACCCAGGGCCAGCACCTGCCATTTCTGAGGTGGGCATGAGGCCTCCAGCCCTGGAGGCCCTTGGAGCCTCTCCCTCCCTCCTCGCTCCCAGCTGAGCAGCCTTACTGGGCTAACCCCGCTGGTGACTCCCAGCTGAGGTGACAGCCCAGCCGAGCACACTGGTCCTGCCTACTGCTGACCCTCTGGCCTGCCTCCGCCTGCGCGGGCAGAGCAGGGCTGTCAGCACACGCCCAGGCTGCGGGGAGGAGTGGCCCTCGCTCTCCGCCTTGTTCCAGTCAGTCCTGCAGCTGCCAGAGCGGGGAGAGGTCCTTCTGCCTGAGAGTCTGTGGGGTACCCTCTGTCCATACCAGGCTGGCACAGGGAGAGCGACCGTCTCCTCTCCTTTCCTCACAAGCCAACTTCTTCACCCCCAACTGGATTGGACTTGGAGAAATACCACCCTACCCCACCCCCAGAGCCCATAATGCCCAGTGCAGTCTGAGTCTAGTGCCACTTCACTGCTGCGAGATCTTAGGCAAGTCGCTCATCTGAGTCCCATATTCACTGTCAGAAAAAAATTCTTCCTCTACGACATCTCTTGTTCCATTCCCACTGGCACAATCCTATTCTAAACCCCTACTGCGCTCAAGGCTAGAGTACTATATCTCCCCATCGGTCTCTGCTGCTCCATTCCTTTGTCTCTCTAGTCCATCCTGCACACTACCACTCAGTTAACCTTCCCAGCTTATTGCTTTGGTCATGTCACTCTCCTGCTCAAAAACATTCTGTGGCTCCCTATTGTCTACACATAAAATAATTCAGTGGGTATCAGGCTCCCTGCTATACACAAGGTACTGTGATGAGCACAGGAACTCTCCTCTTTCTGACACTGTTGGAATCCACATTCCTTGGTCACCTTTTGACCTCTGACCTCTGCTGATGTTTACTTCCTAGATCCCCAGAGCCGCGTCTGTCTTGGTCGGGCACAGAGCCAGGAGGATGGAGACTACATCAATGCCAACTACATCCGAGTGAGCGGCCTGGCTGCAGTGGCAGCGTGGGGAAGGCCGTGGGTGGGGGCTGTGTGCGAAGGTGTCTGAAGGTGTCTTTCAGCCGCCGCTGGGGGTTCGGGTGCCTGGGTTTCCCTCCTCCTTGCTTCAGCTCACTGATGCCAGAGCCCTGTCAAGCTGGGCTGGACACTGGACAGTCCCCAAGACACCAACCTAGAAAACAGAGCAGCTCACAGTCGGTGGGGCTAAGATAGATCAATTGACAGATGCATAGATAGATAGATAAAGAAAAGAAAAGGGAAACAGAGCAGATGTTAAAAATATTTGAAGAGGCGGGGCGTGGTGGCGCGCGCCTGTAGTCCCAGCTACTGGGGAGGCTGAGGCGAGAGGATCTCGAGCCCAGGAGTTCTTGAGCCCAGGAGTTCAAGGTTACAGTGAGCTATGATTGTGCCACTGCACTCCAGCCTGGGTGACACAGCAAGACCCTGTCTCTAAAAACACTAAAATAAAATGAAAATAAAGATAATATATCTGAAGAGACCACCAAGCCTCCTTAACCTACCCTATCACCGCATCCATTTCAGCAGTCCAAACTTAGCAGGAAGTTAGTTAGCATTGCGGAGCCCAGTCTCTAGCTTCCTGAGGGTTAATCGCTCCTGAAATTTGCAGGGCCTATGCCAGCACTAATGGGACCTCCCTCCCCTCTCCCCTCCCCCCGCTTACCTTAACTTCGCCTCAAGCAGCCCCTCCTTTGTGGGGACGCCTGATTGATGTCAAGCTATAGGAAGCTCAAGGCAAAGTGGGCTCTCCACCCCAGCTGCGTAGAGGAAAAAGCAGCGCTCTCTAACAGCTCAAAGTGGGCAGAACAGCAGTCAGGGGCGCAGGGAAGCAGGGAAGCGCGAGCTTCCATTCTTCCATGTGCTGGCCCAGACCAGGTGAACGGGTCTGGATTTCACCCCGGTCTTGAGGAGCAGGCAGCTGAGGATCCCGGAGGGGAGAGAGACCGGTTATAGAGAGGGTGCTACATTTCGCTACTAAATGGATAAAAAACGCAAAAGTGAAACATCATTCTCAACAAATATTATACACTGTTTTGGTATTTTGTGCTAGAAGAAAGCAGCAGGAGAGGAAAGGAACAAACATTTATAGAGCACTTGCTAAATGCTAGACTCTCAATATATCTCGTTGAATTTAATCCACACTATGATACATTCCTACAAGATAGATATTATGCCCAATTTATAGATGAGAAAACTGAGGCTTACAGAAGCTAGAGAACTAGCTTACAGTGGCACAGCTAGGAAACGGCAGAACAGGGATCTGATCCTCACTCCAGAACCTGTATCCTTCCCACCATGTGGCTTCCGGATGAGTGTGTTCGTGCATATGTGTGTCTGCGTGTGTGTGTTCACTGGCTTCAGCCTGATCCCAGCACCTGCAGACTCTGGGGTCTCCCCAGAGCTCTAAGCTCACTGCTTCCCACCCTTCTCCTGTGCGTCCACCTCTCCAGGGCTATGACGGGCAGGAGAAGGTCTACATTGCAACCCAAGGCCCCATGCCCAACACTGTGTCGGACTTCTGGGAGATGGTGTGGCAAGAAAAAGTATCCGTCATTGTCATGCTCACTCAACTCCGAGAAGGCAAGGAGGTAGGAGGCAGAGCCGTAGTCCTTGGTGAACCTAGAAAGGGCTGTGTCCATGTTCACACAAACACACAGAGGCCGCCCTGAGAGCCAGTCCCAGCTCGCACCTCTCAGAAGGGTCCCTGAGATACACCCCAGGGAGGCCGTCCACGGCCAAAATGTGGGACAGGGTGAGCACTTTGTCTGCAGGTGTCAAGCTCAGGAGAGCCAGGCCCCAGCTGCTGCCCGCCAACAGTGGGGGTGCACAATGGGGAGGGCATACCACCCCCCTCTCTGCTGCCCTGGGCCCTGCTCCAGATGACAGACCCTCCCCCTTCTAACGCCCAGCTCCCTCCCTCCTAGAAATGTGTCCACTATTGGCCCACAGAAGAGGAAACCTATGGACCCTTCCAGCTCCGCGTCCAGGACCTGAAAGAGCATCCCGAATACACCGTGCGGCAGCTCACCATCCAGGTACTGGCCCCGGGCCCGGGCCCATCCACAGGGCAGCTGGGCCTCCCCAGCATCTCTGGAACTCTGGCCCAGTCTTCAATGGGAGCCAAGGGTTTAGGAAACCTTCTTAAATCCACCTCTAAAAGATCATTTTAAGCTATAGAAGAAAGAGAAACTTGAGTACTACCCCAAGGGAGCCTCTAGTCTACTAGGGCAGAGCCAGCAGAAACTGCAGTCCGTCCGTCTGTGCTGAATGGCCCAAGGGAGGAGAGGTGGGGTCCAGGAGGAGAGGTGGGGTCCAGGAGGAGAGGTGGGGTCCAGGAGTCGTGCCGAAGGAATGAGTGGTTGCAATAGATGCACAGTAACCCATGTCAAAGTGCTTTAAAAAATGCCTTCTGTGATTGTGTGGTGTTTTACATTTTTCAAAGCATTTCTCAATCAACTCATTCTCCTCCAAGCATCCTGGGAAGTAAACCAATAAGCTATCACTGTCCCCATTTTCTAGGTGAAGAAAATGAGGCCAAGGGCATTGCCCAAAGTCATGTGCTAGGGAGAGGCAGAGCTAGGACTTGAACTTGGGTCTTTCCCCTCTCCCAGGACAATGCTCCTTCCCAGCATTTTGGAGGGGGCAGTGGTGGAGTAGGATGATCAGGAAAAGCGCCAACCTTGCCTCCTTTGAGTCAGTGACGCCCCCACAGGAAAACTCCAGCCCGTGCCCTCCTCTGGCACCAAAGAGGAAGGTGGGCGGTGCCCCCCATCCCAGGCTGACTCTGATTCTCATGCTTGTCTCCGCCCCAGCACCAGGAGGAGTGCCGGTCCGTAAAGCACGTCCTTTTCTCGGCCTGGCCTGACCACCAGACTCCGGAATCAGCGGGCCCCCTGCTGCGCCTGGTGGCAGAGGTGGAGGAGAGCCCAGAGGCGCCTGCCCACGCCAGGCCCATCGTGGTCCACTGCAGGTGCGCGACCCCTCCCTCCACAGCACCCTGTGTGCTGTGCTCCCTCTCCCGCCCGCTGGGTCTCTCCTGGGAAGGGGTCTGAGCAGAACAGCATCGGGCAGGCCGAGTTCTTCCTTGGACAGGAATCTCAAGATCATTCCGCAAGTGCTCTTCTTACCTCCTTTGTGCAGGACCTGGACCTCTGAGCTGGACACTCAGGCACAATCCAGAGAGGGGGTGGAATGTCAGGAAGCTCCCAGTCTGCTGGGGGAGACATAATCATGATCCCTGCTGTTGGGGAACTCATGTATTCATTCAACAAACATTTACTGAAAGCCTGTTATTGTCAGGTACGGTGTCAGATGTGAAGGAAATGGCTGTGAACACAACAGTTTGGTTTCTTCCCTGACAGGTTCACAGCCTGATGGGAAAGACAGCAGATTAAACAATTAAATACAACATGACGTGATGAGCATTAGCATGGGGGGACTGTGGGGGAACATAGAACCAAGTCTCCTAACGCAGACTTTGGCTGGAGAAAGTGTCCAAGAGAAAGGACATCTAAGCCACCCTAAGACCTGAAAGGTGAATTAGCCAAGTGAGGAGGGAAGGGGTGAGGCGTTCCGGGCAGATGGAACAGCACATGCAAAGGCCCAGAGAAGAAGTTTTAAAATTGCTACATTGCTGGGAGCAGAGTTAGAGGCTGGGTCTGGAGGTCGCGTGTGGGATAATGATGAGAGATGAGTCTGGAAGGCAAATGAAGGCCAGATGAGGACGGACCCTGTAGGACTGGCTAAGACACTTAGATCTGCCATGTTGAAAGAATACTTTCGAGTGAAAAGCGGATCGGGGTGGAGTAGGGGGTGTTCAGGGGACCATGCGGGAGTGCATATCCTAAATGAAACAGGACGCAGAGGCAAAAGTACAGACAGAGGGGGCGCCCGAACCTACCCACAGGTGGCACTGGGACATAAATGCTAGGAGGTTATTGGTGGCTTCTGTTAGAAGAAGGGGAGGCCTGGGAGGGTTGTGAGATAAAGGAAGAGCAAGATAGGGCAGGGCAGAGAGAAGATGACCGTGGGAGGGAACAGAGGTGGGAAACGGGCTGAGCGTCGGCAACACGGGAGGTGGGTCCGGGCTGGGAAGGAAGTCATGGTTAGATAATGGGGGCTCAAGAGGTCGGCAAGTGCACAAGTTGGGGGCTGTCTGTTGGAAACCGCTGTAGACCACTGAGCAGAAGAAAGATCATCAGAATGTCCACAGGGACCGGAAGGTGGCCTGCAAGAGGCTTAGCGTGAGGCGCCAGTTATAACCTGCCTCCAGCAGGGACCCCCGAGGGGGCTGGAATCTGAAGCATTGCTACCTTCCTCCGTCCCGAGAGCCCTGTGCCCCAAGATAGAGCATGTTTAAGGCCGGGCGCAGTGGCTCACGCCTGTAATCCTAGCACTCTGGGAGGCCGAGGCAGGAGGATCGTTTGAGCTCAGGAGTTCGAGACCAGCCTGAGCAAGAGCGAGACCCCGTCTCTACTAAAAATAGAAAGAAATTACTTGGATAACTAAAAATCTGTATAGAAAAAATTAGCCGGGCATGGTGGTGCATGCCTGTAGTCCCAGCTACTCGGGAGGCTGAGGCAGGAGGATCGCTTGAGCCCAGGAGTTTGAGGCTGCTGTGAGCTAGGCTGATGCCACGGCACTCTAGCCCGGGCAACAGAGCGGGACCCTGTCTCAAAAAAAAAAAAGATAGAGCACGTTTAGGTCCCATTTCTTCCTCCATAGTTTGGGGCCTAGCTCCCATGTTCCCAGGTCTCCTGTGACCTCCCCGTCCCCTCCCTGGCTATATCCAGTGCAGGGATTGGCCGGACTGGATGCTTCATCGCCACGCGAATCGGCTGCCAACAGCTGAAGGCCCGAGGGGAAGTGGACATTCTGGGCATCGTGTGCCAGCTGCGGCTAGACAGGTGGGTCCATGGATGTAACAGGTGGCATCGATGCCTCTGGGCCTCAGAGCACTGCTAGGCACATCGCCACCACGCACTCACTCCTGGGAGAAAGGAAGGGACCCTTTTGATTAAAGAGCTGTTTATTTTGCAACTAACGCCCAGGAAAGAATCTCTATCTGAAATTTTGGCTTGGAGGCCTGGGATTGAGCATGTCACTCTATGGATCTACCCTGAGCCTTCAATTTGTTTTTTCCCCAAATTCCCTACGCAGACAAAAGTTGGCAATGGGCAACTTCTAGGCAGCCACAAGCAGTGCACAGAAGTTCACTGGGTTTGGAGACAGGACCCGGGTTCGAATTCTGACGTGTATCTCACTGAGCTGTCACTGTATTTCTCTGGGCCCCCAATTCCTTATCTAGAGAGAGATGACAGCTCCTACCCCACAGAACTGTTAGAAGCAATGAATTAACTTACATGAAAATGTTTTGGAAATGGGCATTACTATACAAATGTATAGAATCGTTATTTTTAAGATTATTGGAAAGAGGGAAATTGAGGCTCAGGGATGTTCCTGGCCCAACCCGAGAGATCAGAGTCTGGTTTTGCCCCAGGAGCTGAGGGCGTCAGGGAAGACCAAGCATCTGCCCGCGCACGCCCAGCCACCGGGCTCGGCCTTGAGTGAGGCGCAGAGGGCTTCCCTCGAAGGGGAGCGCTGAGGGGCAGCGAGGAGGAGTAGGGAGTAGAAAGGAGGAATATACGTGAAGAAGTTGGCGTGTGCTCGGAGAGAGTCAGCACTTTCCCAACAGGACTATGAGGATGTTTGCGCGAGCCATTCGGCAAGTACCCTGGGCCTCCTTCACTCGTCGTCTGTGTGTCTCTCCTTGCAGAGGCGGGATGATCCAGACCGCAGAGCAGTACCAGTTCCTACACCACACTCTGGCCCTGTACGCGGCCCAGCTGCCCGCCGAGCCCAGCCCCTGACCGCTGCCACCCTCCACCAGCCCAGGTGCCAGCCCCACCTCAGGCCTGGGAAGGTGGGTCTGGGGAAAGTGGGCTGTGTGATTGGGGCGACCCCCTGGGTGGGCACGGGGAAGGAGTGCCTCCCTGGGGGCGCTCGCAGTCACAGGAAGCTGCATCAGCAAGGACGAGGGGCCAGACTCCAGGTCTTCACCACTGGCCGCTCCTCTGCTTCCTCTAGTGGCCCCACATGGACCTTAGGGGGATCTCCCCCATGTCTCTCTGTACTTAAAGATGGCACTTACAACAGGCCAAGAAAGCAGCCCAGGTCTCCTGGTCTCCTCTAAGACGCTGTTTGTGGGCTTCAGTTTCCTCATCTACAGCATGGACATTAAGTGCTTTGCTGCCATAATGGAAAGCAATCAGAGAAGTTCCTAGGAGCCATTCCAGCTGTCTCCCTTCCTGGGACTGGCAAGAGGGTAATTCCAAGATCATCCTCCAACTGGGCCCAGCCCCAGCACAGGCCAGATGCAAGAGAGGGGAAAAGTCTGGTCCTGACCTCAGAGTCTCAACATCCTAGCAGTGACTCCCTGCTCCCCCACCACACATCTGTGAGGGCTGGACCCCCTCCGCTGTCAAAGAGAACGAGGACTGAGATTACCTTTGTTTCCACCCATGTGTCCTGAGAGCAGGCTACAGAGGCAACCAGGCCTGGCAGTTGAAATCTCTGCAAGAGGGAATGTGTGGGGACTATTCAGAGGCCGAGAGAGCTGCCCCTGACTCCGTAATTGCCAACCACTCACCCCAGCTTCTCTCCAGGGAGGCCCAGCATTCTCCGCTTTGCTTCCATGACCTTGAATGATACCCCGGGCATGCAGGAAGTACCGAAGAAAGAGGAGAGGAGGAGACAAAGAGCACAGTCTGATTTTAGATAACCAACCCCACCACCTCCCTTCATAGCCTGCATTTGCAGAGTACACCTGGAGAGCTCGGCTGTTTCCAAAAGCAGCCTGGGTGACAACCGCTTCGTGCAGACGTGGAGGATCAACTGAACTGGGACCCGTCACCATTTGCCACAGAGACCTAACCCCCCTCATTCGTCAACAAAATTTCCAGGGGACCCCAGATCTATCTCAGGGTTGAACTCTAACCCCAGGATTCATCCTCCTCGAATCCGAGAGGGGGCTGCCATTCTGAGATGGGGGTAGGGCGAGGCATCATTTCGCCTGGCACCCCACCCCTGAGATCTGCCTTGGCTGACGCCAGCTCTCTGTGGAAAGCCCCAAGGAGCTGAATCCTGGACAGCAGCTGAAGAACATGCAGTGCTAAAGCTGAGGGTGGCTGTCTTCTGCTCGGCCTTACTGAGGAGCTCCTCCTTCTTCACAGCCCTGGGGATGGACTCACCTGCCCCTCCACCTTCCGTAGGGCCTGTGAGCGGCACCACCGTCTGTGCCCGTGCGGCGAGGTGGAGGGCTCCAAGTGCCTGATCCTGCCCTGAGCTCAGCCCCCGTCTGGAGGGGAGCCACTGCATAGCTCCGCAGGCTCCCCTCCCTGGCAGTGTCACCCCAACCCTGTTTCTGGGCTCAGAGGGGACAAGTTCCGCACAAGTAACCAAGTGGCAAAATAAAGGCTTCTTGGATGACTGATTCATTCCTTCTCTCCATCTTCCTCTCAGGCCTCTGAGGCCTCTTGGTAGCAATAGAAAGTAAAAACTCCATAGACAAGGAACGGGCTGCAAATCTTCACCTCTGGGATACGCACTTTTCTAGAACTTCCAGGGACATCAATCAAAGTGAAACTGAAGTCAATTTAGGAAGTGAGACAGAGGTATACTGTCACAGTCCACTCAGGCCTCTATAACAAAATACAGTACCATAAACTGGGGGGGGCTTATAAACAACAGAAATGGATGGCTCACAGTTCTGGAGGCTGAGAAGTCCAAGATCAAGGCCCCTGCAGATCCACTGTCTGGTTAGGGCCTGCTTTCTGCCTCAGACGCAGAGAGTCTTGTCTCTGTCCTTACATGGTAGAAGGAGTATAAGCTAGAGTTTTGTTTTGTTTTTCTTTCTCTCTCTCTCTCCCCCTCCCCTCTATATCTAAGGCCACTAATCCCACTCATGAAGGCTTGGCCCTCATGACCTAATCACCTCCTAATACCATCACCTTGGAGATTAGGATTTCAGCACATGAATTTGGGGTGGACACAAACATTCAGATCGTAGCATGTACCTTAGAAACTAAAGAGGGACTTATATAAAGGACACAGACTAGAAAGGTGGTGCTTAATAAACCAGAATATTCTGCTAGTCCAGGACCTGTGATTCCTCCACTTTGGATACTGTTTGATTATTTGGGGTTATTTAAGTCTTGGATAGATTTGACAGGAGTGGTTGATATTGATAGTTTATTCACCTTTGACTAAAACATTAGACTCGAAGTATGAGCACACTTGAAAACCAATCCTAAGGAGCATCCGACACAGGCGGGGGACTGCCCTGAAGCCTGGGACCAGCGGGGTACAGCCAGCTGGGGTGACCAGCCCCTGCAAGGGATGGGGGAAAGAGCAGGGTGCAGGGCATCCCCGCAGGCCCTACGCCGCCCGCCATCGGTTCTCCTCTTGAAGAAAACTTTGCTTTTTACCACAAACGGGGCCAGAAACGTTCTTCACCAGACATCCCCCAGCAGGGTCTTACGTGTTTCAGTACCATGGCGAGGCTGGTGAGAACCGGCACCAAGTTCAAGCATCCATCTCACTTTGGGCCGGGGCTTCCTAAGCAGGTGGTCCAGGTAAATTGTGGTTAACTAAACCAGACGAAGTATTAAAAGACCCCATACGGTTGTTACTCTCTGCTGGGCACCTTTTGAGGGGATGGGGCTCTGTACCCAAGGGTGCTCAGAGGCGGGGGTTCAGGGAACAAAAGGCCTCCGTTTGCCTTCCCTTCATAGAGTTCTCATCTCCGTGTCCTGGAAAGTGGGTGACCCACCCTTCTTCACCTGGAAATGTTCCTGCTTAACCGGGGCCGCACCCACCTCGAGCCCACCACCCTTTAACAAACGGGGTGCCAGTCAGGGCGAGGCAGCCGGGGACGAGGGGAAAAATAAATTAGACCCTATTCCCCTAGCGCCCCTCGACGCCAGCTGTCAGTCAGCCCCTCGCCCTGGAGCCCGCGGGTTCCCCGCCCACCGCACCCGCGGGCGCCGACCCGGGCCCCGGCCCGCGCGGGGGAGGAGCGCGCGCGGGTGCGAGCAGGACACGGCCCGGCCGCGCCGGAGGGCGGCGGCGGCGGCGCCGGCGGAGGAGGAGGAGGAGGAGGAGGAGGAGGGCGCTGAAGCCACACCCATCGGCGAGCGGATCGGGGGCAGAGTCGTCGGCCGCTGCTCTCCAGCCTCCGCCCGCACCGAGCAGCGGGACCCGGGCCGCACCGGGGAGGGGCCGCTCCGGGCCGCAACGCGAGGGCAGCGAGGGGCGGCGGGGACCCGGCACCGGGCGGGGCCGGCGGCAGCGACCATGATCGCTTTGTTCAACAAGCTGCTGGACTGGTTCAAGGCCCTGTTCTGGAAGGAGGAGATGGAGCTCACGCTGGTCGGGCTGCAGTACTCCGGCAAGACCACCTTCGTCAACGTGATCGCGGTACGGGGGCGCCGGGAGCGGGGCCGCGGGGCCGGCCTGTCTCCGCCCGCGCCGCGCCCTCGTGAGCCGGGGTCGCCGCCTGGCATGGCCGGGCACGGCCGGGCACGGCCGGGCGCCGGGCGGGGGAGGAGCCGGCCCTGGGCGCTTGGGGCCTAGTGCGGCCCGTGGGGGACCCGGGTGGCGCGCCACCCGCTCTCCCGCCCGGGCCGGGGTGGCACGGCCGGGGGCGAGGGAAAGGGTTCAAGGAGACGGGGCTGGTGCCCCGGGGCCGGCGGCCCGGAGGGGGTCTTGAGGCGGGAGGGATCCTCTGCAGGCCCCCTCTGGGCCCCGCGCAAGGGGCATGACGGGGCGAAAGTGCCCGGGCCTTCCCGCCCCGCGTGTGGAGGGTCACGGGACGGGGTGGCTGAGCGGCGTGGGGAGGGGGCCTGGGCTAACCCAGCCCCACCCTGAGGGCTTAACCCCTTCTTGCCGGAAGAGGAAGCCCCGGCCCTGCTGAGGAAGGGGAGGTATCCCCTGGGGGCGGAGGAGTCCGCTGAGGTCCTTGGCTGAAGCCCAGACTCCTCCTCCCTGCGCCTCTCCGCGACCTGCGGTGTCGAGCCGGGGGTCGGGGAGGATGGCATCATGCAGGGAGTCTGGAGTCCCCGCCTGGCTCAGAAGTTGCCGGAGGAGGCGCTTCCGACCAGAGAGTTGTAAGGGGCAGCGCCGCCGGGGACGCGGGTGCGAGTGGCTCTCAGGTCTGCGGGCAGTCCGGCCCGAGGTGGGGGATTATAAGAGTCTTTCAGTGCCAGGGAGTGGCGGGGAAGGAGTTAAAATCTCTCTCTCGCAAAAAAAAAGGGAAGATGCGCTCCCTGGGTGTGAGCTGAGGCTGCAGTAATGGCTGCGGCCTGCCTTTCAGGGCCGGGCGGGACCAGGCTTGTGGTTCCAGGCAGCTTGGAACAGGGGCTGGGGTTGTCCAGGGACCTGAGAACTGTGAATTGACCAGGTACTGACCCAAAATGCTGTTGAGGTAGGTCAGCAAAGGAATGTGGCCAGCCAGCTTCATACCTCCACCTGCCTGTGTTGCCCAACCTGGCAGAAGACGGGCCTCCTGGACGGGTCTCAGCATCCCAGAAGGGAGTGTTCCAGGCAGGGAATGTCACTGACACCGGGCCTGAGGCACAAGGGGAGAGGGAAGGCTGAAGGGGTTGGTGCCTGTGGTCACATGATTGGGCACTGGCTTCGTTTCAGAAGCATGCTCTGCAAATGACCTCTGCCCCTTCCTCGACCCAAAGTCTCCTGGCTCCTCGTCTGACAGGGAAGGATGTTCGGGCTGATGCTGGGATTCTTGGCACAATGTTTTTCTCAGCTAACATCCGCCCCTGGGCTCCTATCTGCCCCTAGGGCCAGAGACCCACTGATTAGACTTGCCATTGACTTGGGCTCTTGGGCTCCCAGAGCAGCAGCAACACCTGGACTCCTCTGGCTCCGCAGGCCGGGGGGCTTGGCTTCCAGGCATGTAGGTCTGGGAACTGTCTCTGGGGTAAGACCAGAAGGAGAAACAAGTTGCTGGGGTTTGGCCTAGGCGTCACTTCCTGTCCCGAGGGAAGGTCTCCTCATGGAATATTACTAAAGCTATACCCCTGCACAGGGATCCACAGGTACCCAGGTGGATTCTGTCTCCAGATCTAGAGGCCAACCTTTGAAGGAGGGCCCCCTCC